CTCCTCCTCCTCCTCCTCACCCAGCACGCGCGGACTCCTCCTCTCAGTGAGTCACAGCTGCTGAAGTTTGGAGCTTTTGAACGAGCGCGCTCAACAACAGACGGTTTCTATGACATCATCACCTTCATTCTCAGGTGTGTTGAACTGATCCAGATGTGCCTCTGTAAACATCAGCACAGGTTGCAGCATGAGCCCGTCCTCGTCCACTTTGAGTTCGTGGGGTAAAATCAGGATTTTCTTTTTCTGGCGCTAACCAAGAGAACGCTTCAGTTTTATCTGCTCTGCGTTCCTCAGATCTTAGTACTTATTGGCGCTCTGGCTGCATGTTGTTGACCTTTGACCTCGGGCAGTCTGACATCAGACCGTGACCCCGGCTCGTGTCTCTGCAGGATCAGCCGGCTGTTCAGCGGTGCAGAGCCCATCGTGTTGGACAGTCTGAAGCAGCACTACTTCATCGACCGGGACGGCGACATCTTCCGCTACATCCTTAGTTTCCTGCGCACCTGCAAGCTGCTGCTTCCTGAAGACTTCCAGGTGAGCCCCTGCAGCAGCCGGCACAGGTGAACGCCTGTTCACGGTTCAGACCAGTTGCATTACTGATGATCTTTATATGGCTGCCCATCCGTGAGCCTGGGTCTTCCTGTTAAAAGGGAATTTTTCCACAGGCAGCGGTCCGCTTGTTGATTTCCTGTTATTGTGCGACCCTCAGCCTGAAGTATGAAGCTCGCTGAGGCACACGTGTGATTTGGTGCTACATTAACAAACCTGTAACTGTATAACCCGTGAGCTTGGGCCAATCAGTGACCAGCAGAGCGCGAGAGGATCACATGCTGAGCAGAATCTAAATAAACTAAACCGAGACAACCGGCACGCGGTTTAGTTTATTTAGATTTCAGTTTCCATGGAAACAGCTAATGTTTATTTTAAAGTACTGTCATGGTCAAATTTCACAAATGTGTAAAACAAACTCTGAGGAGACGTGAAGAGTTTGACTCAGAGATGATTGGTTCATACTGAGACTCGTTTTAGCTCGGACTCTGTAACACGCCGATGCGGCGGCGCAGACGAGTGTCTTTTACTAAATGAAAGCAGGAGGTGTGTGTTAGCAGCATACTGTTTCCTCTGATCTGTGTGTGTTGTTACTGAGACACCCGGCTCACAGTGAGTCAGACGGCCCGCGGACACACCGCCGCTTTACATAAACACACCCACCCCCACTTCCACCGGGGGGGGGGGGGGGGGGGGGCTTCGATGCAGCAGGACGCCTGAGGCAGTGAGGGAAAAAGCCACAAACCTCCATCTGAGTGTCAGACAGAGAAAATCAGAGGCAAGAGAATTAAGTGTGCTCGGGTTTTCAGAATAAAAGCACCAGTACAGCAGGAATTGAAGGTCAGGAGAGTTGTCTTTTTTAAAGGGAAATAGGAAGGAAAGAATTAAAGGAAAGAAGAATTGGAGAGAGGATGTGATGTGGAGCTCCTCGTGCTGCTGGGATTCTTCTCTGTGATTGGTAGATTGATCCTACATGCTCCAGCTGTTGATCTGACAGTTTTCAAATACCACGCAGGAAACAGGTCGTCCATCATAAGGTCATGTAATCAGGCTGATCTGTAATTAGCTTATTTATATTGATCAGCTGATCGTTGTCATGTGACTCTGTCCTCAGGACTTGCCCCAGCTGTACGAGGAGGCTCGGTACTACCAGCTGACTCCGATGGTGCGCGAGCTGGAGCGCTGGCAGGCGGAGCGCGAGGCCCAGCGGACGGCGCCCTGCGAGTGTCTGGTGGTCCGCGTCACACCTGACCTGGGCGAGAGGATCGCGCTGAGTGGCGAGAAGGTCCTCATCGAGGAAATCTTCCCCGAGACCGGAGACGTGATGTGCAACTCTGTGAACGCCGGCTGGAACCAGGACCCAACCCATGTCATCCGTTTCCCTCTGAACGGGTACCTGAGGCTCAACTCTGTGCAGGTGAGTCCGCTCGCATCGCCAAACGTTCTCCACACGCCAGGAGCCGAGTCTCATCTGTGCCTCCGTGTCTCCCTGCAGGTCCTCGAGCGCCTCTTCCTGAAGGGCTTCGAAATCAAGGCGTCCTGCGGCGGCGGCGTCGACTCGTCCCAATTCAGCGAGTACGTGCTGTGTCGCGACCTGCAGCACAGCCAGTCCGTCACCAGCACGCCAATCCGGATTAAGCAAGAGCCTCTGGACTAAAGAGCAGCGGTGACCGTGTCACCTGAGCACGCCGAGCACACCTGGAGCGGAGGCCTCAGGAGGCGGAGCTTGGCTGCCGTGTACATAATGGTTTTTCTAAGTGTCATTTTTATAAAGTGCTGTTTGTATATTTAATGTGTTTGTAGCTCAGCTGTTGTTCTCATAAAAAGAAACCACACAAAGCTCCGCCCACTTTCTCCTTCTCTTTATTTCATTTTTTTTGCAAAGGTACAAACGACTGTAAAACGGCCCAGCGGGCCTCAGGTGCGAATACACGATGTAGGAAATATAAATAGTCCCAAAAATGGCGTCCTTCAGTTCATAGGGCTCTACGCCATCGCCACACAGACCGACATTAAAGCGTTAAAAACCTTCCGGAAACTTTCAAACTGCATTTCAACCACGAGGCTCGAGTCCAGTCGCACGCAGCTGCCGCCAGGAGGAGCACTTCCTGTTTCACCTTAAAGGGACAGTCCGTCAGTCTACCTGCTGAGAGTCGTGACGTTCAGACCCCGCCCCCTTCCAATGAAGCCACTCGTCATCAATATTTTTTTCTAAAGAACGACTTCATGAGGAAAAATGGTTTTTTTCCTCAAACGTGTAGAAAGTTGGAATTTTAGGCTACAGTCGCCCCACGGTAACCGCGGTAACCACAGTTGCTAGGGAAAATAAATAAATCTGCATTCTGCAGATGGCGCTGCATTAAAATCCTCGTGATCACGTGGCCGATGTTTTCCGAGCTGCACGGAAACCATGCCGGAAGTTGTAATAGTTCACCTTCAAAGTAAAAGCTTTGGCGTCACAGGCAACAAGATTTTAGCGCGTTTGCAGACAAGGTGTGTGTTCAGCGGGCGATCACAACAACAACGGGTGGTTACCAGGGCGTCAGTCTGCGTTAACAGGATATTTGTAATTTCATTATCTGAGAAAAGAATCAGCTGGTTAATCGAAACAAACTGGACATTGATTTTTCTAATCGATAAAAATTTTTCAGGTTGTGAAATCTTGCTAGGTTTTGCGCTCGATTTGCCCGAAAACGCCACGACTTCACCGATCTGACCGTCCGGCTCTCACACAGATTTGTCTTAATGTTAAACTGTTCCTTTGACGAACACAACATCGTGAAAAGAAGCTCCTCCCATCACGTGACGGAACTGAGCCGAAGGATCTGAGCGCGATCAGAAAACTTTCAAAACAAAACGATGAGCCTGCGAGCCTGGCGTCCTGAGTGGGCCAACAGGAAATCTGAAGAGGTCGGGAAAGGTTTGACTCAAAGGCACCTGTTCAGGTACAGCGCTGGAGTCCGGAGGCGCTCGCCACCTCATCTCACAGAAGAAGCTCAGTGTCACGCTGCATGCCTGTCAGCTCAGCTCAGCTTTTTATGGCGTCACAGGAACACCACGTGAAACCACGCGAGACGGTTCACGTGTTGATTGGTGGACTAATTGCGTGGAGTTGCAGCGGAGGAGTTGCTGTGGACGAAAGGTTTCTAAGAGGAAGAGAAACCACAGCAACCAGAAACATTGGCGAAGAACAAAAGGACCTAAAGTGGCGCCCTGACGAACTCCACGCTGAAGTAGAATTTGCTCAAATGAGTAACTAAGAGAATAATTACAGGTGATGTTCCTCAAGTCAGCGGCTAGACACAACAGAGGAGATCTCCCACACAGCTTCTCGAGGTCCAGCTGGATTGTGGGTAATGGAGGGGCGGACTTAATAAGGCAGTTTATTTCCTGGTCACATGACTTGAAACAGTATTCAACAGCAGTTTGTTCCCGACGTCACTGCTGGACTCAACTACAGGAGTAGGCGTGGCCACAGCTTCGATAGCGTAACCCAGGCCGCGTTTCACACCCTGTTTTAAACTGCATCAACGAGCAGCCGAGCACCAAAACAGACCAGCCTTTCAGCCAATCACAATCTGTCCAATCAGCCTTGGATCTGGTTTCTGATTGGCCTGATCTGGATGAGAGCAGTGGAGTGCTCCGCTAACGGAAGGGCGAGCTGAGGCGGGATGTCCTTTTCTAAAAATAATCGTAAAAGCAGAGCTGAGCGTTGAAAGGTGCCGTAAGGACTGAAGACCAGAATCAAACACCTCCGCTGGAGGACTGGGGGCGAGGGGGGCGGCTGCGGTGGCTCCCTCCTCACTTCAGCAGAGCCTTGTAGAGTATCAGGGAGCGAGCCGTGGGCCGATCGTGCTCCATACAGAAGATTAAGTCCCTGAGGTTAACTCGTGTGATGCGCTGGCGGGGCTGCTGGCGGGAGGAGCCGGCCACGGAGGAGCCGGCGGCTGAGCCCGAGGACACCTGGAGAGGAGGAAGGAGAGAGGAGGCAGTGAGCAGGAAACAAACATGGAAGGAAAAAACATCCTGATGAGCTAAAGCTGCACTTGCTGTGCGACCTCTGACACACCGTTTGTCTCGCGGTCTTAAAAAGTGCCTGAAGCACAGCGACCTTTGACCTCCATGTTTGGTGCATTTAGAGATGCCGGGTCTATGCCGAGGCTCCGCCCCATGTCTGCACAAGCTCTCCCACGCTGCTTTAATCCCTCGCTGGGTCCAGACCTGCTGCCGGGCCACGCCTGCGTGCGGAGGGCGCGCCGGCAGCCGGAGGTCAGGTGACTCCCAGCCCTGCAGCGATTAGTCAAAGTACTGAGCAGCTGCTGCTCCAACATGCCCGTCGCAGCAGTTCCAGGCACACGATCTAAGGTGAGCCAATCATATTCAAGCATCCAAAACGAGAGAAACTGATGAAGCCCCCCCCACGACCGAAAAGGCCCCAATAATCCAGAAAGGCCCTGAGCGATGGGTTCTCACAGAGCTGCAGGTATCTGCAGTCAGCTGATGGCGAACGTGATGGCGAGCTGCAGGCTGACCCGATTACCGAAGCCGACCAGGCTTATGTTGGCGAGGAATTCAGAGCGAGCTGCTCCTGAGGATGATGGATGCTCTTCCTCCCTCTGCTGGATGTTATATGAAGGAAGATGGACTTCCTGTTTCATTCAGAGCTGACATCACCTCAGTGAAGGAGCTCACAACGCCACAGTGACACCTGCGTGCACGCATCTGCGACTCCGTCCTGTCAGCACGTGTCACGACGTCCGAGCGCTGCTCCCTCTCCCACTCCGCTGGAAATTTCCAGCACAAAGAGATTTGTGTTGCCTCTTTCTAATCTGCCCTGGAGCTGCAGCAGTTTGCCCTTCAGCATCCACTGCAGGCCCGATCAGGCTTCAGCTGGGTCTGCCCGCCCCGGACCCGCCCCCACCACCTCAGGCTGTAGCCTGCTCTGAATGCACGCCTGCAGACGCCGTGTTTCACCAACAGGAAGCACAAGCGCTTCCTTTCATTCGGCTTTGATCGCCTTCAGGCTCAGGTTGAACTCCTTTGTTTCTAACAGTGGGGCGCATTCGTGAGAACACCTGAGCAGGTGTCACGGCACAAACGCAGACTCTCCCAGCACCAACCACAGCTGCCCCGACACCGCCTCGCCCCACACAAATGCGACCTCTGTCCCTCAGCAGGCCGTCTAAGCTTGTACCATTAACACTGATGGTGTGTGAACTCACGCTCAGCGGGGGCTCAGGTAAAGGCTCCATCTACACCGACGCCCTGCGGGCTCATGAACGCCCCTCAGGGTGACTACAGGAGCCACGGCGGTTCACTCTGCAGCGCTGCTGCCACACGGTAAGGTTTGAGCTTCTCATTGAGCTGACTCCTCTGAGCTCAGAGCGTCCACAAACACAAACGGCGTCTGATCCTAATGCAGGCTGAGCTCAGTGAGCTCGCGCCACACACTCCATCGCGTGGTCATTCCTCTCAACCTCCAATCAGGCGCTTCATTTCCTGAGAAAAGCACTGACAGCTGCAAACATCTGGAGCCCACCCCAGTTCATAAGCCAATAAGTTAACTCATTAGTCAAACGAGCATGGCGCCAACACACCGTTACTAAAACATGAACACAGCACCTCCGACCGGAGTGCCTCGCCCCTGTTGCCCCGCCCCCACGCTTGCTGCCAGCTGCTCTGTATCTGCTAAACGAGCCCAGAAATGCTGGATTTCTCTGTAGGAGCTTGGCTTTGTCTGCGGCTGCTGGGGGGCCAGCCCCAGGCAGGACAGGATGGGCAGGGGGGCACCACCCACCCCCGCTGTCTCAGTTCATTTCAGAAATGAATGGCTGCCCCCGAGGGGAGGGGGAGGTGGCAGAGGGGGAAAGTCAGACCCTCACAGCCCCCAGGCACACACTGACCCCCTTCACTCAACTCTGCTCACATTCACAGCCTGAATTGAGGAGGAGGGGGGGGTCGTTATATACACGCGCGCTCTCTCGTGATTGGTCAGACACGCTGCAGGTTCTCCACTCTGTGCCATTAAAAGCGCAGCAGCAGAAGAAGTAAACCTACAGTTCCTCTGACGACCAGCGGAGGCAGCAGTGAGTCATCACCTATACGGGTGGATTTAGGTGGAGGTTGTTCAGTAATGAATTCAACTGGTCATGCAGGGGCTCTGAGCAGTAGCGCCCCATGATGCACAGCTGATTGGAAGAACAGCTGAGCTAGCAGCTGACATCATCACACATACACACTGATGATGATGATGATGTGGTTCCCTGCTGTGTTCTGTTTCTTACACCACCTCTGAGCTGGTGTCTTACCTCTGTGCCAGCTCCGCCCGGTGAGTCCAGCTTGCGTTTCTTGCGCGGGCCGATGGCGGCGAGCGCAGTGAGGTTGGCGTCTCTCTGTCGCATCTGAGCAAGCTCCTGCTGCTGCATCTGTGGGAACAATCAGAACATCAGGAATAATCACATGACTCAGTTTTTACACTTAATGAAGTCACAGACAGACGGACAGGCGCACAGACAGACGGACAGGCGCACAGACAGACGGACGGACAGGCAGACAGACGGACGGACAGGCAGACAGACGGACGGACAGGCAGACAGACGGACGGACAGGCAGACAGACAGACGGACAGGCGCACAGACAGACGGAC